GTTCAGATTTGGATATAGCTCCCATATATATCTTCATCCGATTTCGGGTTAATTGTGCACCAAATGGCCGATATAAGTCCAAATGGACTGAATTTTAGTACATCGGACCAAATTCAGCCCAGAAGCAAGTATATCAAATTTAGTGAAAATCGGTTCAGATATAGATATAGCAACCATATATATGTTTCATCCGATTTAGTGTTTTAGTCCCTTACATTCGTAATATTCACTCCACAGCCGTGATATTTGGTACCAGGTATTAGATGGAGCACAGGAATAGCTGTTTTAAATTTTATCGAAATCGGTTCAGATTTGGATATAGCTCTCATATATATCTTCATCCGATTTCGGGTGATTGACCACCAAATGGCCGTAATAGCATCAATTTTGGCAAATCCGACCGAAACCAGCTTAGAAGCAAGTACACCAATTTTAGTAAAAATCGGTTCAGATATAGCTATAGCTCCCATATATATCTTTTATCCGATTTGGTCTTTAAGTGCCTCACATTCGTAATATGCACTCCACAGGAATGATATTTGGTACCAGATACCAGATAAAGCCCAAAAATAGTTGATTTTAATTTTATTAAAATCTGTTCCGATTTGGATATGCCTCCCATGTATATCTTCATCCGATTTCATGTTAATTGTGCATCAAATGGCCAATATCAGCCCAAATGGCATGAATTCAACCGAAACCAGCCTATAAGCAAGTACACCAATTTTAGTAAAAATTGGTTCAGATATAGCTTTAGCTCCCATATATATATTCATCCGATTTCGTGTTAATTGTGCACTAAATGGTCAATATCAGCCCAAATCACCTGAATTTTCGTACATAAGACCGAATTCAGTCTAGAAGCTAATACGTCAAATTTGGAGAAACTCGGTTCAGAGATAGCTATAGTTCGTAAAATGCACGATAGCATTAGATAAATTTTGATTTTGTATCAAATATCTCATAGAGCTCTGAAATGCCCTGTATAAACCTTTTTACGAGAGCTCGACTAAATATGCATAGTGGTGTAGGGTATCATATAGTCGGCCCCGCCCGACTTTTGAGCTTTCCTTACTGGTTTATATTAAATTAAATAATATTGAATTTAAAAATATTCCTTTAATCTAAACAACAGAACACCAGCACAACACTACTTCCTCATGAATTATTTCTCCTCACTTCCATGTTGTTTATATTTAATTAATACAAAAAGATGACTTTCTGAACGAGCCATTTATTAACTTGGCTTCTTTGAAATGCTTCCGAAAGTGCTTAATTTACTAAAAAATTAAAATTTGTAAAGATGCTGACAAGGGATTTTCAAGAAATGTGAACTTTGTGACAACACAATTTTCGGTTAAAACGGCATCAAAGGAGATGAAGGTGAGAACACCAACAAGAGAGATTGTTGTTGTTTGCTGATAACAAAAGACTCGTGTTATGGTAACTGGGAGGGGAAAATATTTAAATTGTTGTAGATAGTATAAAATTTACTACCTTCAATTTGTGCTAATAACATTGACATTTTGTCGAGAAATCTTCAGTTGTGGCCAAACCCTTTTTAGATTTAGGTGAAATTATTTATGATTATAGTCTCAGTGGTTCCCTTTTTATTTGCATCGTGCCTTTGTTCAGATTATTTACTTTAAATTAGGAATGACTATGATAAACATTTATGCCATGAAAAATATATTTTTATGTTTGGCATATATTGTAATTTAAATGACCACATAACTTCATATTAGGACTAACATACCAATGTTCAAAATTTTAATGGGAAGAAAGTTTTGTTGTAAATATTCGTCATTACGGGTATGTAATACAGTTCGATAAACAAGAAGGGAATCCTAAAAAAATGTTCACTCCCACGACGACCCTTACAGGGTGAGATGAAAAAACTGCAAAAAACTTCAGACTGCTAAAATTTCTAAGCCACTCGTCCGACAGCTGTTAAAATTATTCCAGTGACAGCCCAATATATTGTTTACAAGCGTACAAAATCATTTTGGTGAGACTTTTCCAGAAAAAAAGTCATTCGTAATGGAATTCAATCGTAACATTTTTGTCAAACTTAGATCGAGTTCGGAGATGGGCAATTTCGGCCCACTCCTGTAACAACCGTGTTCAAGAAAAACGAAATGAAATCGCTGTGTTGACCATTAAGTGGCGTTGCCGGTATGCTGGCGTTTAGCGCGGCTATGGCTCGTCGGATTGGGGGTTGGTTCTTGCCACTTGCAGATCTTTTCGGTTGAACAAACAAAAAATCATACCGGACTTCAAACTAAATTAAAAAAGGGGGTAAAAAGAAGCCTGAAACATGTCAACAAAAAAAATTGAAAAGAAGAAAACGTTCACCTAACTGCAACCAAATCCCAAAATAACATTAGTTTTTTTTTTTTTTTCACAGAAACAGTGCTCCTGGCGGCTGACCAGCCAGGAGATAGCCCTCCCTCCGAGAACACCTCTCGCCATGACGTCTACTCATACTGGACGTCCCAGATCTGACCCTTGACTTACCATATTTTATCCCATCCCTACCACCTTTTTAATAGGGCTTTAAGCCGAAGACATTTTTATCTTTTCAGGTTTAATCCTGTACATATTTATTAAAACTATATTACATATTTGGCAAAAAAAACAATTCATTCCATTGTAATTTGAATCAAAATCTAACAATTTACAGCGAATTATAATATAAAAATTTCAGAAAAAAAACAAAGAATTGCCAATAAAAATCAATTTTCGAAAGTAATCTTTTCTTTTGTACTTTTAGGGCTTAACGGCGGGCACCCAGGGTGTAGAACCTTGACGGCAGCTTGTGACTAAGGCTTTTTCCCAAAACGTAAGTATGTACGAATTAGTTCGTGTTTCAGCTTTTTAATTATATTCCTCGGTCAGAATGTAAATAATAATTTTCTTGCTTTCAATTCCAGATGAGGACGAACAAAGGAATGTAGGTCGATACCACATTACAACGACGATCTAAACAATGCCTGGTAACCTAACCTTGAATTGAGCTCAGTTCAATGTCGCGTACCTGCATACCAACACAAAGTAAGTAAAAAAATTAATATTAACTCGTTTGTTCACCCTTTTTATTTATTTATTCTTTTCAGGAAAAACCGCGGAATTTAATTATGTAGCTTAGTCGTCCATCTGTCTGTCCGGAGTTAAATAAGTTGCAGTGTCAATTGGGAATGATACCAAGCCACGCTGGAGCAGCAATGGCGTAAACTCTGCGCCTCCCTCGATGGATTGGATGGGCGATGGTGTGGCTTGTAGGCTCCAATTCTTCATGAATTTTTAGGTTTAAGATTTATATTCATTGCTTTAGAATTTTAGTCAATTGTTTTGGTTTTTTTTTTTCAATATTGTTACATTGTTTTCAAACTTTGTTTAATTTTAAAAAAAGTTCAATTTTCTTTTAATTTTCAATTTTTATGAAAACTATTTGTTTTGTTATAAATTTCCTTTCAATTTTTAGCCTTTTTTTTCGTTTAATGTTGCTTAATTATTTAAAGGCTTCATATTTTCTTTAAAATAGATTGTATTTTGTGTTGTTTGTGTATGTGTTTCAACAAATAAACCAGATGAATTCACTTCTCAAAAACTTTGGTTGTTTTTTTTTCTTCGACGGTTACAGGGAGCCACGCATCCAATCTTCTTCGCAGGCAAAATCAAAAAGGAAAGATTTTTCTTACAATTTTTGCCAGGAAATTCTGGCTGCCATTTTCCTCGCTTAATTTTTCCATTTTCTTTTTACATTATTCCCTAATATTGACATTTAAGTAATTGGAATAATCAGCTGTTTTTTAGTAATTGTTCTTCTTCTAGCTATCAATTATTTTCAGGTTTACCCCTTTACGTAATTTTTTTGTGAAAATAGTGTGTTTATTTTTTAATGACGAAAAGTGCAAAGAATTTAATCGAAATAAATAATGAAAAAGTTGCATGATTAAAAAAAATAATTAAGGCATAAAAAGTGATTTTACTAGTTAAAAACGGTGCAAATCAATATCTAAAAAAATTAATAAAAAGTTAAAGTGAATGAAATTGAAATGCTATTGTGAATTAATTGAAAATAAAATATTCAAGAATTGGGCTTCAGTAAATTTAATATAACAAATTATGTGAAATGTTTTGAATTTTGATGAAAGTATTAAACTGAATGAAAATTTAATATTGATAAACTGAGAAAGTTATCCAAATCGGACGGACATATTCGGTGTGATTGTCTAAAAATTAAATTTTTTACCATATTCGTTCTAAATTATATTTTGATTTTAACTTAAAGTTTCCTCTTTTTCACAGATAACTAATACTTTCTCTTTCTGTTCCTATCTTTTCAGATTGGTGACTGCCTACGTTTGGATTAAACGAAAGGTAAGATTGAGACCTGATATTTTCTTTTTCTGTAGGGGTACCCTCAACTGGGTCCACACTTTGGTCAGATTGTTGGATACGATATTATTTCAAATGCATTTAGATGTGTTTGATCGTGTCTTCCCGCTTCCAGACTCTAACGTCGTAAATCGATGACTGACAGCTCTGCGACCTTGTGTACAACACTCTTCTGCCTTGTGCCATAGTTGCGTATGGGAATATAAAGGAAGAGTGCACAAATGGTCAAGGACAGTCACAACGTGACTGCTCAGGAATCGTAGACATATGGTTAGAGTCGGTAAATCTGGGATGCTTCCTTTCGTAATCCAACGGATTCTTTCTGACCACTGCTGCTGGTGTCTAGACGAGTGGCCTCCTATGGTTACATGAAAAAAATTTTCCATGGTCTCAATAATCAAAAGACATCTAGAGAAGTTACTCAAATTGAATATTGCATTCACAAAAGGTAAGTAAAATAGAAATGCTAATAATTTAATAAGAAAAATAGTAATATGTTACTTTTTTTTTTTAATCTTCCAGACAAATATTACCTATGAAATTAGCCCTCCCTCCGAGAACACCTCTCGCCATGACGTCTACTCATACTGGACGTCCCAGATCTGACCCTTGACTTACCATATTTTATCCCATCCCTACCACCTTTTTAATAGGGCTTTAAGCCGAAGACATTTTTATCTTTTCAGGTTTAATCCTGTACATATTTATTAAAACTATATTACATATTTGGCAAAAAAAAACAATTCATTCCATTGTAATTTGAATCAAAATCTAACAATTTACAGCGAATTATAATATAAAAATTTCAGAAAAAAAAAACAAAGAATTGCCAATAAAAATCAATTTTCGAAAGTAATCTTTTCTTTTTGTACTTTTAGGGCTTAACGGCGGGCACCCAGGGTGTAGAACCTTGACGGCAGCTTGTGACTAAGGCTTTTTCCCAAAACGTAAGTATGTACGAATTAGTTCGTGTTTCAGCTTTTTAATTATATTCCTCGGTCAGAATGTAAATAATAATTTTCTTGCTTTCAATTCCAGATGAGGACGAACAAAGGAATGTAGGTCGATACCACATTACAACGACGATCTAAACAATGCCTGGTAACCTAACCTTGAATTGAGCTCAGTTCAATGTCGCGTACCTGCATACCAACACAAAGTAAGTAAAAAAATTAATATTAACTCGTTTGTTCACCCTTTTTATTTATTTATTCTTTTCAGGAAAAACCGCGGAATTTAATTATGTAGCTTAGTCGTCCGTCTGTCTGTCCGGAGTTAAATAAGTTGCAGTGTCAATTGGGAATGATACCAAGCCACGCTGGAGCAGCAATGGCGTAAACTCTGCGCCTCCCTCGATGGATTGGATGGGCGATGGTGTGGCTTGTAGGCTCCAATTCTTCATGAATTTTTAGGTTTAAGATTTATATTCATTGCTTTAGAATTTTAGTCAATTGTTTTGGTTTTTTTTTCAATATTGTTACATTGTTTTCAAACTTTGTTTAATTTTAAAAAAAGTTCAATTTTCTTTTAATTTTCAATTTTTATGAAAACTATTTGTTTTGTTATAAATTTCCTTTCAATTTTTAGCCTTTTTTTTCGTTTAATGTTGCTTAATTATTTAAAGGCTTCATATTTTCTTTAAAATAGATTTTATTTTGTGTTGTTTGTGTATGTGTTTCAACAAATAAACCAGATGAATTCACTTCTCAAAAACTTTGGTTGTTTTTTTTTCTTCGACGGTTACAGGGAGCCACGCATCCAATCTTCTTCGCAGGCAAAATCAAAAAGGAAAGATTTTTCTTACAATTTTTGCCAGGAAATTCTGGCTGCCATTTTCCTCGCTTAATTTTTCCATTTTCTTTTTACATTATTCCCTAATATTGACATTTAAGTAATTGGAATAATCAGCTGTTTTTTAGTAATTGTTCTTCTTCTTCTTCTAGCTATCAATTATTTTCAGGGTTACCCCTTTTAAAGGCGCACACCACAAAGCCAACTATCCTGCTGATATCCTTATCGAAGGATAGGGGGAAAAAAAGTGCGACCTTTGGTTTAAAAAAATGCAAAAAAAAAAAAAATCAATGGTTTGATAGGGTATTAAAAAAAATCGGTGTTTGGCATCCCTAATAATCGCGGTCTGTTATCCCTAACACTGATTTTCCAAAATGAAATTTAATTTTGGACTGATTTATTTATTATAATATAAAGCTCCATTAGCCCATAGGAACATGGTATAATGTTTACGTCATACGCCACGCGTTATCGTTTAGTCTGACGTAAGGTGACTACCGATAGTAGTGACTATCGATAGTAGTGACGTTTATGAATGAAAACAATCGGAGAACGCGTCTATTGTAATTTTTTTTTTGCGGATTGGAGCACGGACGGACGGACGGAAAATTTTGGAGCTGGAGAAATTATAAAATTTTAGGTAAGTAGAGTGAAAAAAAAAATTATACTGAATTATAAATTAATTATAATACAATAAATGTAAATGCCGGGTGAGTGAAAATAACGTGTATAATTAAAGTGAAAAGTGAATAAAGTGCCGAAAAAAATGAATGAAAATTACTATCATAAACATACAGTGCGGGTGTATGTGCAAATAGTAACTTGCAAATAATTGCATGAAAAAAATTAATCCGTATAAATCTTTAGAAAATAATAAAGAAAATTAAAAGAATAAAAGGAAATATGATAAAAAAGTGGTTTTAATGAAACAAATTCAATCAATTTCCTAAAAATATTTACATATTCTAACCAAAGAAAATTAATGATTTCCCTCCAGTGTGTGTGTGTGTAAATAAAAGTTGCATTTGCATTTACAATGAAAAAATGCACTCATTAATAAAAAAATGTGACTTTGGCGGAAACAATAAGTTCGAAATATAATTCGAAGTTAGTGAGTAGTGAATAAAAATGGAACAGATAAAGAAAACAGAATTAAGGAATGATTGAAAAGTACGAATAAAATTAAAATAGATAATATCGCCAAAAGAAAAGAAAAATTGAAATGGTGAAAACAAAACAAAATGCACAAATTAACAAAGTCATGGACCAAAGAGATAAAGTGCAAAAAAAAACTAATGAATGATTACTATTGGAAACACAGGAAATATTAAAGGAGATGAATTAAAATTTAGTGGAAAATAGTGAGAAATTTAGAATTGATCGGACGGACGTAATTTTTTTGTGAAAATAGTGTGTTTATTTTTTAATGACGAAAAGTGCAAAGAATTTAATCGAAATAAATAATGAAAAAGTTGCATGATTAAAAAAAATAATTAAGGCATAAAAATGATTTTACTAGTTAAAAACGGTGCAAATCTATATCTAAAAAAAATTAATAAAAAAGTTAAAGTGAATGAAATTGAAATGCTATTGTGAATTAATTGAAAATAAAATATTCAAGAATTGGGCTTCAGTAAATTTAATATAACAAATTATGTGAAATGTTTTGAATTTTGATGAAAGTATTAAACTGAATGAAAATTTAATATTGATAAACTGAGAAAGTTATCCAAATCGGACGGACATATTCGGTGTGATTGTCTAAAAATTAAATTTTTACCATATTCGTTCTAAATTATATTTTGATTTTAACTTAAAGTTTCCTCTTTTTCACAGATAACTAATACTTTCTCTTTCTGTTCTTATCTTTTCAGATTGGTGACTGCCTACGTTTGGATTAAACGAAAGGTAAGATTGAGACCTGATATTTTCTTTTTCTGTAGGGGTACCCTCAACTGGGTCCACACTTTGGTCAGATTGTTGGATACGATATTATTTCAAATGCATTTAGATGTGTTTGATCGTGTCTTCCCGCTTCCAGACTCTAACGTCGTAAATCGATGACTGACAGCTCTGCGACCTTGTGTACAACACTCTTCTGCCTTGTGCCATAGTTGCGTATGGGAATATAAAGGAAGAGTGCACAAATGGTCAAGGACAGTCACAACGTGACTGCTCAGGAATCGTAGACATATGGTTAGAGTCGGTAAATCTGGGATGCTTCCTTTCGTAATCCAACGGATTCTTTCTGACCACTGCTGCTGGTGTCTAGACGAGTGGCCTCCTATGGTTACATGAAAAAAATTTTTCCATGGTCTCAATAATCAAAAGACATCTAGAGAAGTTACTCAAATTGAATATTGCATTCACAAAAGGTAAGTAAAATAGAAATGCTAATAATTTAATAAGAAAAATAGTAATATGTTACTTTTTTTTTTTAATCTTCCAGACAAATATTACCTATGAAATTAGCCCTCCCTCCGAGAACACCTCTCGCCATGACGTCTACTCATACTGGACGTCCCAGATCTGACCCTTGACTTACCATATTTTATCCCATCCCTACCACCTTTTAATAGGGCTTTAAGCCGAAGACATTTTTATCTTTTCAGGTTTAATCCTGTACATATTTATTAAAACTATATTACATATTTGGCAAAAAAAAACAATTCATTCCATTGTAATTTGAATCAAAATCTAACAATTTACAGCGAATTATAATATAAAAATTTCAGAAAAAAAACAAAGAATTGCCAATAAAAATCAATTTTCGAAAGTAATCTTTTCTTTTTGTACTTTTAGGGCTTAACGGCGGGCACCCAGGGTGTAGAACCTTGACGGCAGCTTGTGACTAAGGCTTTTTCCCAAAACGTAAGTATGTACGAATTAGTTCGTGTTTCAGCTTTTTAATTATATTCCTCGGTCAGAATGTAAATAATAATTTTCTTGCTTTCAATTCCAGATGAGGACGAACAAAGGAATGTAGGTCGATACCACATTACAACGACGATCTAAACAATGCCTGGTAACCTAACCTTGAATTGAGCTCAGTTCAATGTCGCGTACCTGCATACCAACACAAAGTAAGTAAAAAAATTAATATTAACTCGTTTGTTCACCCTTTTTATTTATTTATTCTTTTCAGGAAAAACCGCGGAATTTAATTATGTAGCTTAGTCGTCCATCTGTCTGTCCGGAGTTAAATAAGTTGCAGTGTCAATTGGGAATGATACCAAGCCACGCTGGAGCAGCAATGGCGTAAACTCTGCGCCTCCCTCGATGGATTGGATGGGCGATGGTGTGGCTTGTAGGCTCCAATTCTTCATGAATTTTTAGGTTTAAGATTTATATTCATTGCTTTAGAATTTTAGTCAATTGTTTTGGTTTTTTTTTCAATATTGTTACATTGTTTTCAAACTTTGTTTAATTTTAAAAAAAGTTCAATTTTCTTTTAATTTTCAATTTTTATGAAAACTATTTGTTTTGTTATAAATTTCCTTTCAATTTTTAGCCTTTTTTTTCGTTTAATGTTGCTTAATTATTTAAAGGCTTCATATTTTCTTTAAAATAGATTGTATTTTGTGTTGTTTGTGTATGTGTTTCAACAAATAAACCAGATGAATTCACTTCTCAAAACTTTGGTTGTTTTTTTTTTCTTCGACGGTTACAGGGAGCCACGCATCCAATCTTCTTCGCAGGCAAAATCAAAAAGGAAAGATTTTTCTTACAATTTTTGCCAGGAAATTCTGGCTGCCATTTTCCTCGCTTAATTTTTCCATTTTCTTTTTACATTATTCCCTAATATTGACATTTAAGTAATTGGAATAATCAGCTGTTTTTTAGTAATTGTTCTTCTTCTTCTTCTAGCTATCAATTATTTTCAGGGTTACCCCTTTACGTAATTTTTTTTGTGAAAATAGTGTGTTTATTTTTTAATGACGAAAAGTGCAAAGAATTTAATCGAAATAAATAATGAAAAAGTTGCATGATTAAAAAAAATAATTAAGGCATAAAAAGTGATTTTACTAGTTAAAAACGGTGCAAATCAATATCTAAAAAAAATTAATAAAAAAGTTAAAGTGAATGAAATTGAAATGCTATTGTGAATTAATTGAAAATAAAATATTCAAGAATTGGGCTTCAGTAAATTTAATATAACAAATTATGTGAAATGTTTTGAATTTTGATGAAAGTATTAAACTGAATGAAAATTTAATATTGATAAACTGAGAAAGTTATCCAAATCGGACGGACATATTCGGTGTGATTGTCTAAAAATTAAATTTTTTACCATATTCGTTCTAAATTATATTTTGATTTTAACTTAAAGTTTCCTCTTTTTCACAGATAACTAATACTTTCTCTTTCTGTTCTTATCTTTTCAGATTGGTGACTGCTTACGTTTGGATTAAACGAAAGGTAAGATTGAGACCTGATATTTTCTTTTTCTGTAGGGGTACCCTCAACTGGGTCACACTTTGGTCAGATTGTTGGATACGATATTATTTCAAATGCATTTAGATGTGTTTGATCGTGTCTTCCCGCTTCCAGACTCTAACGTCGTAAATCGATGACTGACAGCTCTGCGACCTTGTGTACAACACTCTTCTGCCTTGTGCCATAGTTGCGTATGGGAATATAAAGGAAGAGTGCACAAATGGTCAAGGACAGTCACAACGTGACTGCTCAGGAATCGTAGACATATGGTTAGAGTCGGTAAATCTGGGATGCTTCCTTTCGTAATCCAACGGATTCTTTCTGACCACTGCTGCTGGTGTCTAGACGAGTGGCCTCCTATGGTTACATGAAAAAAAATTTTCCATGGTCTCAATAATCAAAAGACATCTAGAGAAGTTACTCAAATTGAATATTGCATTCACAAAAAGGTAAGTAAAAATAGAAATGCTAATAATTTAATAAGAAAAATAGTAATATGTTACTTTTTTTTTTAATCTTCCAGACAAATATTACCTATGAAATTTGCGTGTCCTTCAAAAACAGGAAATTATATTTGATGGTAAGTTCGATTAATCCTGTTCTCCTTTTTCTTTCTCCAGCAGGTGTACCATCGACTAGACCTTCAGCTTTTGTCAGAATGTCGGATACGATGTTTTGCAAATGCACTGAGGTGTATTTGCTCTTTTTGTCTCCTGGCTTCCAGACTCTAGTGTCGTAAGTCGGGTGAAGGACGGATCTGCGACCTCGTGTACAACAGTTCCCTGGCCCGTGCCAAAGAGCGAACGGCTACTGCTTCACCGCGAAAGGGGAATTGCACTAATGGTCAAAGACAGTCACCAGGTGACTGCTCCGGATGCGCAGACGTCAACTAGAGTCGGTAAACCCAGAGTGCTTTAATTCGTACTCTGACTTCACAATTCTGACATCTGCTGTTAGAGTCTAGAAGATTGGACGCCTGTTCGAATGGAAAAAAAACAGGGTTCCGAACTTCACCAAATATTCTAGTCGAGACTTACAGCGGTCCTACTGACGGAGTTTCAAAATCAAACGTAAGATGTAGTTTTAATACAATTTCCTAGTTTTGTAATTTTTCTCTGAAAAATTGAGAAATATTATGAGAGCTATATTTTTTTTTATAAACTTAAATTTTATATTTCATAACCAAAAATTAGCTAAAAAAAACTTTGTAAGTATGGCTTGAGATGGACATTTCAAATTTAATTTTATTTCTAAGTTGTTCATTTTTATTCGTATTTTTCTATTTCGCCAATAATCCTACATAATTATATTTCACTAATTCATATATTTTTTTCTCTTATTTATAAAAAAAAAAACTGGATAAATGGGTTTCAACCTTTACCCATACACAACTACACATCACTCAGGAAGGAAAGGTGTCCTACAGCTTCTTAAAAAAATTCGGGAATACTAAAAGGACATTTCGTAAGTAGAAATTCAGGTTAGTCCTCTTAATATTATATCTTAAATAATTGTAATAAAATTTGTACTTTTTTTTAATTCAGGTAGTACTTCAACTAAATTCAATTGGATCTTCCGGAACTCTTGGAAAATTCAGGTGAGTTTTGGAAAAATTTAAACTTAAGGTAACTTTAAGTTAAGTTAAGATAGAATTAAGAGATAAATTTTAAATATTTTCCGTGCATACGTAGCGGATTAGTATTTCATTTTGAGATCTCCGCTTTATTTTAAAAATTGAATTAACTGAACAAAAAAATAATTTCTATCCTCATATATATGCTTTAGACTTCGGTCGCTATATATATGTAAAAAGAAAAAAAAAATAATTAGAAGAAAAATTAAATTCTTCAATTCGTAAGCATTTATTGCTTCAAATCCTTAGCGTGAAAAATGCCAATGGGATGTCCTTTAAGATCTTCTACTTCGTAAAGGCATTTCCCAACTGGTTTAACAATGCGACACTTGAAAAATTTTTTATCAAGTTTAGCATTATAATTATTTTTAAAATCGCTTTGCCTGAAACTTCTCCGAAATACTTCTTGCCCTGGGATGAACTTGACCTGACGACTTCTAAGGTTATAAGACTTTTCATTTCTCAAGTATGCCTGGTGCAGACTATTTCTTATCTTTTCTCGAATAAGATTCTGTTTTACCGAGTTTGGAATGAGTGTCGTCTCGGGGTCATTAAGAAGTTCAAGTTTCCTGGCTAATTTATAAAGACTGGCATGATTTATCATATTGACTCCAAAGAGCGCAAAATAAAGGGTAGTTCCGATGGAACTATGGACAGAAGATCGCAGAGAACATTCTATCTCTGATAAATTTTGATCCCATTCTCGGTGATCTTCTCCCAGATATGCTCGAATCGCTGATAAAATAGATTGATTTACCCGCTCCGAGGCATTTGCTTGCGGAGAGTGAAAAGCAGTTTTGGTGTGGTTTATACCAAAAAGTTTAATCATATCTGAAAATTCTTTGCTAATAAATTGTTTCCCATTATCTGACACAATAACTTCTGGGGTTCCAAATTTATGAAATACTTCACTAATTAAAAACTTAACTACATTTCTTGAATTTGCTTTGGCCATGGCTTTTAGCAAAACGTATTTCGAAAGGTGGTCTACCACAATGAAAATAAAACTGTTTCCCGTTTTGGTTCTGGGATAAGGACCTAAGAAGTCTACATAAATTCGTTGAAATGGTCTTTCTGTAATAGTCTCGGCTCCCATAGATGGACGAAGCGTCGAATTGGCTGGTTTTGTCTCTTTACAGATATCACAATTTTGTACAAAATTTCTAACTTGAGTATTCATATTTTGCCAAGAAAAGTACTCTTTCACCCTACGAAGAGTTTTGTGGAAACCTCCATGAGAAACTTGTGGTGGACAGTGTGCTTTTTCAATGATTTGCTGGGTCAATTCGCTGGGTACCCATAACTTCCAGGCGAAATCTTCATTAAGGGGAATTCCGTCGTAGAATTGAGTTCGTTTATATACCAAACCATCAACCACTTTTAGATCGGGAAGTTGTGAAGAATTATTTTTGATGGTTTCTATTAAGGCTAAATAATCATCTGCTTTAAAAGCTAAGGAATCGAGATCGATTAAGGCCTTCACATCTAGCGAAATCTCCTCCATATCATATCTTGATAAAGTATCAGGTACTATATTCTGGGTTCCTTTACGGTGCTCTATTTCAAAACAATATGCCTGCAACTGTAGGCTCCATCTAGCTAACCTTCCGCTCAGATGTGACATGAGCCATTTTAAACTGCTATGGTCCGTTATAACTGTGAAAGGCATCAATTCTATATATGGCCTGAATTTTTTAATTGCCATCACTACTGCCAAACACTCCCTCTCAGTCACCGAGTAATTTTTCTGAGCAGAAGTCAGCTTTTGCGAAAAATAAGCAATGGGATGCTCTCCACCCTCATCGTCTCTTTGAAATAATACTGCTCCTATTCCCAAGTCTGATGCATCGCTTTGTACATAGAAATGTCTGGTAAAGTCTGGGTGTGTCAGGACAGGACTACTTACAAGGGCTTGTTTCAATTTGTCAAATGCAACCTTGACCTCCTCTGTGAACGTGAATCGTTTTCCTTTCTTGAGGGTTTCAAAGATGGGAGCCGCAATAGTGGCAAAGTCGGCAATGAACCTTCGATACCACCCTGCCGTACCCATGAAACTCCTCACTTGCTTTGCTGTTTTCGGGTATGTAAACTTCACTATTGTTTCCACCTTTGCCGGGTCAGTTTTAAGTTTGCCACCTCCAACAATGTAACCCAAGTATCTAAGCTCTTTGAAGCAGAACTTCGACTTGGTTACATTTATTGTGAGTCCTGCTTTAGCCAAACAACCTGCCACCTGCTCTAACAATCCCAGGTGAGTGTCGAAGTCTGGCGAAACAACCAAAAGATCATCCAAGTAGACGAAAACTCTATCACGTAGTGCGCCAGGGATCACTTTATCCATTAAACGGCATAACCTTTGGGCTGCATTGCACAGACCAAAGGCCATGACGGTAAAATGGTAAAGCGGTCGTCCAGGCACTGTGAATGCAGTTTTCTCTCTACTTGAAGGATCTAGTGGAATTTGCCAGAACGCATCCTTCAGGTCGACACTAGAAATGAAATAGGTATCCCCCAGCCGACTGAGCAAACCTTCTATATGCGGCAATGGATAGGCGTCCTTGACCGTCAGTGCATTGAGTTTGCGAGCGTCCAGGCACAAACGGTTCTTTTCGCCCCTTCGGACTAGAGTAACCGGATGACTCCATGGACTTCCGCTCTCTTCAATAACACCTAGGTCTAGCATCCTATCCAATTCCGCATATATAAGTTTCTGCACAGCCGGGGAAACGGGATAATGCCTATCTTTCACCGGGGTTGCATCGCGGGTGTCGATTGAATGGACCTCAGCTTTAGTCTTTCCCAAGCCATACTTGGTAAAGCAAGGAAATTTGTCCTTCACTATTTGCAAACGAACTCGTTGCTCCTCGGACAAAGAATGGCTGTTAACATCACTGATCTCAGGCTCACCACAGAGACTCACTTCCTGGAGTGACAAACCGTCCACCTGAGCAAACATTTGGAAACGTTTCATGAAGTCTACCCCCAGAAACAACTCCCGACTCAGAGAAGGAACAAGATACAGGACGATAGAATGCTCCTGCTTCCTAAATTTTACATTAGTCGTCACCCTACCAACTATTTTATGTGGGCTTCCATCTGCGGTTTTAATAAAAGAATGGAAATGCTTGATTTCCAATCCCGCTCTCTCCACAAAACTAAGGCAATTTTTCCCCAGACAGGAAACGGAGGCTCCGCTATCTAGCAATCCCTCTATCTCTTCACCATTTATATGTAATTTTGTATATAGCCGATTATCTTCCCCTTCAAATATGGTAGCCGATGCTATCTCCTGCCGAATGCGTCTTCTCCTCTTATATCGTTCTCTAGCCTTTTTAATTTTATTGGAAACTTGACCAAAAATTCTTTCTCTCGCCTCGCAATATTCTCTTATTCGGATATGAAGCGGTTTCAACTCTCTCAATCTCGGTTTTACTTCTGATTTCTACTTTCTTGCTCTACATTCTTCAAAATAGAAACTTTAATACTGGAACTACTACTACTCTGCTCTGGGCTTAAACTGGGGTTGACCTCACCTGCCCAGACTGAGGTGGGTTCCTGTGCCGGTTTCCCTGACACTTCGGACAATCGGGGACGGTAACACCTTCTTGGCCACACCTATAGCAGAAAATCTTTCGAGGCTCCCGGTACTCCATCCAGCTATGACCCATAACACCGCAGTTCCAACATTTATACTTGGATGTCATGGTCACGGCATCAACTTCAATTTCACCTCGGGGTTCCTCTTCCGTCTGCCAATCGAGCTCGTGCACTTTCTGTGGTGTGTGGTATCGCTGCTGTCTTTGGGTCCATACAAGATTTTCGGCTTTCTTCACCTGCCTATAAAAATCACCCAAGCTATTTATCTGAGCCGAGAAGATCATTTGGGCTAAAGACGGCTTAAGGTTGCCTCTCATTATTTCCACTATCTCGTGCTCCCTGTATGGCGACTTTTGCTGTGTCCGTAGCCGCAGTACATCATTATAAAAATCTTCAAAATTCTCGTGTGGTAGTTGACGCCGATTTAAAATCTGCATTTGAAGCTGGAATTCATTTTCAAATCTTTGGTACTGCGCCAACAAAGCACTTTCCAACTCCTTCCATGTGCGAAACTGGACCAATTTCCTGTGGTTCCAATACCAATCGAGAGCTGGCTTTTCCAAAAGTTGGTGAAATTTGGTAATCAATACCTCATCTGGGCAATTATAATCTTTTTTAAGTTCACCCACTCTGAAGATGAATTCTTGGACGATCATGGTTTTGTCGGTACCATCAAAAGATACTCCCCATTTCGCCAAATTAAAACGCCCGGAGATTTCTGAGACGATACTGCTTGGATGTGGACTGGTATGTGTCTCGTGTGGCTCTGTCCGCATGCCTCTGCTGTACGTATTAGGCAACCTCTCGGTCGGCAGTATTGGGTGAGTTTGGACTCCGGCGACTGGTGGTGGTACCGATAAGCTGGTTGGTGGTTGTGCTGGTGCACCACTTGATGAGAACCCTGGTGGCGGTTGGTTAAAGGGACCAAGTGACAATGGTCTAGGATCGTGAATCGGTGGTGGATTTACTCGCTCCGGATATGGTAGTGTGTAACCCCTTGCTAAATTAGGCTGCTGAGACGTTAAGCCTGACGCCAATGCATGTGAAGACAGAATGACTGGTGCCGATGAATTGGACATTGATGATGAAACACCTTGAGCTGGGACGTCCCCATGTGCTAAATGTGCAATATGCGAAGCAATGGGACCACTATGCGCGGCAGTTGTAACTTGTTGTGCGTTAGAAGGTGCGCTGTGAACCGCGGTAACAACACTGCTTACGGCTGTAGCTTCGGAAGTGGTTACCACACCATTTTGCCCTAATATCGGTCTACCTGCCAAACTTGCACTCGCAGTTCTAGTAAGAGGCATATTGCTACTTGATCTAACAAAATTAGTAAACAAAAAACTCCGAAAAAGCGAAAAAAATCAAAATGAAGTCTGTCAAAAGATTTTGCTCGAAAGTAAACCACACGGTTTCAATTAAAGAAAAAATAAAATAAAAACAATTGTGGTAAGTAAAATAAAAAAATAAATTCAATGTAATTCAGTTCTTTCACAATTAATTCACACTTTTCACTTTTACAGGTTATTATGTACGGCATACAAATTCTACTATCCGGCAGAATAATTTTGATGAAACAAACTGGAAAAATTCAAATACTGTTAGGTGGTGGATTTCTGGTCAAAATAGTGGTAAGTCAAGGTCAAATAAACTGTTCCTGTATGAATTTTAATATGTTTCACTTTTTACAGGGATTTGGTGAGTTACACTGGCAAAACTGTGGAATTTAAAACTAAAAATGAACTGCGAAAAATGGAATATGGAAAAGGCGGCTTGCACAGACATCCCTCAAGAAGTTCCATGACAATACGACCACTGGTCGGAAGCCAAAATTGTCGCAGGACCAATGGAAACTCTGGGTAAGTCTGTGATCAGCTACCAAATTCCGGGTACTGAAATTAAACATAGACGGACAGAAACTACAATCTAAAAAAAAAAACTAATTCGTTTGAGACTACCAATTCTCATTTGCATAGCAGCGCGTCACCTGCCTTCTTATAGGCTGTTTGGACGGGTCTCCACAAATGAGAACTGATAAACCAGACGAATTTCTTCAACGATATAACTTTAAGAAATCTGAAATTTTAACTTTACTAAAATATGAAAGTTTATTAAAATGCTAGTGCAATTAGAAGTATTAAACTAGAACGACTAAGCCACTAGAAAAAAAATAATAAAAATCATATTTTTCCCAAATATAAATGATGTTTACCCGAGTCTTCGATGAAGCAACGCGTCAGGACTCTTAATTAAACCTAGACGGGACTCATTAAAGATTCATGGTAAACACATTTATACACTACGACTAAAAATTATTAAAAACTAACATGTCTCAGGCCCCACGTTCTGGGCGCCATTTTGTAACAACCGTGTTCAAGAAAAACGAAATGAAATCGCTGTGTTGACCATTAAGTGGCGTTGCCGGTATGCTGGCGTTTAGCGCGGCTATGGCTCGTCGGATTGGGGGTTGGTTCTTGCCACTTGCAGATCTTTTCGGTTGAACAAACAAAAAATCATACCGGACTTCAAACTAAATTAAAAAAAAGGGGGGTAAAAAGAAGCCTGAAACATGTCAACAAAAAAAATTGAAAAGAAGAAAACGTTCACCTAACTGCAACCAAATCCCAAAATAACATTAGTTTTTTTTTCACAGAAACAGTGCTCCTGGCGGCTGACCAGCCAGGAGATAGCCCTCCCTCCGAGAACACCTCTCGCCATGACGTCTACTCATACTGGACGTCCCAGATCTGACCCTTGACTTACCATATTTTATCCCATCCCTACCACCTTTTTAATAGGGCTTTAAGCCGAAGACATTTTTATCTTTTCAGGTTTAATCCTGTACATATTTATTAAAACTATATTACATATTTGGCAAAAAAAAACAATTCATTCCATTGTAATTTGAATCAAAATCTAACAATTTACAGCGAATTATAATATAAAAATTTCAGAAAAAAACAAAGAATTGCCAATAAAAATCAATTTTCGAAAGTAATCTTTTCTTTTTGTACTTTTAGGGCTTAACGGCGGGCACCCAGGGTGTAGAACCTTGACGGCAGCTTGTGACTAAGGCTTTTTCCCAAAACGTAAGTATGTACGAATTAGTTCGTGTTTCAGCTTTTTAATTATATTCCTCGGTCAGAATGTAAATAATAATTTTCTTGCTTTCAATTCCAGATGAGGACGAACAAAGGAATGTAGGTCGATACCACATTACAACGACGATCTAAACAATGCCTGGTAACCTAACCTTGAATTGAGCTCAGTTCAATGTCGCGTACCTGCATACCAACACAAAGTAAGTAAAAAAATTAATATTAACTCGTTTGTTCACCCTTTTTATTTATTTATTCTTTTCAGGAAAAACTGCGGAATTTAATTATGTAGCTTAGTCGTCCGTCTGTCTGTCCGGAGTTAAATAAGTTGCAGTGTCAATTGGGAATGATACCAAGCCACGCTGGAGCAGCAATGGCGTAAACTCTGCGCCTCCCTCGATGGATTGGATGGGCGATGGTGTGGCTTGTAGGCTCCAATTCCTCATGAATTTTTAGGTTTAAGATTTATATTCATTGCTTTAGAATTTTAGTCAATTGTTTTGGTTTTTTTTTTCAATATTGTTACATTGTTTTCAAACTTTGTTTAATTTTAAAAAAAGTTCAATTTTCTTTTAATTTTCAATTTTTATGAAAACTATTTGTTTTGTTATAAATTTCCTTTCAATTTTTAGCCTTTTTTTCGTTTAATGTTGCTTAATTATTTAATGGCTTCATATTTTCTTTAAAATAGATTGTATTTTGTGTTGTTTGTGTATGTGTTTCAACAAATAAACCAGATGAATTCACTTCTCAAAAACTTTGGTTGTTTTTTTTTTCTTCGACGGTTACAGGGAGCCACGCATCCAATCTTCTTCGCAGGCAAAATCAAAAAGGAAAGATTTTTCTTACAATTTTTGCCAGGAAATTCTGGCTGCCATTTTCCTCGCTTAATTTTTCCATTTTCTTTTTACATTATTCCCTAATATTGACATTTAAGTAATTGGAATAATCAGCTGTTTTTTAGTAATTGTTCTTCTTCTTCTTCTAGCTATCAATTATTTTCAGGGTTACCCCTTTTAAAGGCGCACACCACACTCCTTCTGGTACTTCCCCCACAAATGGTCGAAATTTTCAAAAATATATATGTTTTGCACAGAAAGAGAAACGATAATCCGATTTTGCTCCAACTTTGCAAATCTTAATATTTTCGTTAGTGCTAGGTCTGGTGCGAAAACGGACAATATCGGCTACTCCTTATGGTACCTCCCCCACATAGAGTCAAAATTTTAAATTATAACAACTCTCATTAAAAATGTGATGTAAGAGTCCGATTGTCTTAAAATTTCGCAGACCCTAATATATATATTAACCCAAGGTCTGGTGTTAAGATGGAATATATCCGTCCACTCCTTCTGGTACCTCCCCCACAAATGGTTGAAATTTTCAAAAAGTACATATTTTTTGCACAGAAAGAGAAACGATAATCTGATTTTGCACCAACTTTGCATATCCTAATATTCGCGCCAGTGCTAAATGCGGTGCGAAAATTGACAATATCGGTCCGCTCCTTTTGGTACCTCCCTCAAAAAAGCTCAAAATGTTGAATATCCATGAAGCTCATAAAAGCGAAATGAACAACCGATTCCATTACAGACATGGTACATTTATAATATTTCTATCAACACAAGATCTGTTCTAAAGATGGTAGAGATCGGACAATTTCTTTTGCTACCTGTCCCACATAGGCTTTTTGAAAAACAAAACGCTCAAATAAATCGAAACAAGCATTCAACTCTCTTAAAATTTTACACATACAAACATTTTCGCTAACATAAGATCTGTTGTGAAGATGCCATATATCTGCGAACCCCTTCTGGTACCTCACCCACAAAGGGGCACAATTTTCAATACTTTTATCTGTCATAAATTGCGAAACAACTCAGCGATTCTTTACACCTTGCTTTATCTAAATATTTGTATCTCAACCAGAATCCTGAGATGAATATGGAATTTAAGATTTCCCAAAATTGGATATAAATGTTCTATTTTCTTATATATTCATAATAATATTTGTATCATATTTATCTAGGGTCCGTTATGAAGTGGACAATATTGACCCATTCTTTCAAAACCCACTCCATAGAGGGTCACGAGTTTAAAAATTCATAACAGAAGTCAAAATATTTTTAAATAATCGAACATTGGCTGAGGGTATACATCTGTCGGCAAAACCAATCGATACTTTTAAACTTGTTTTAAATTTTATTGAAAGCAAAAAATATATGAAATAGCATCACATTTTAGAATAAGTTTAGATTTGTTCGAATTGGTCACCTTTGGCACGAATTATGGCCTTGAAACGGACAATGAAACCTTTACACGCTGACCGAATGTTGCTCTGCGGTATTTTGGCCCATTCCCGGCGAAGAGCTTGATCGACGCTTTGGAGAGGTGATCGACGCTTTGGTATTTTTAGTGCCAACCTTACTTTCCAAAATACTCCAGACATAATAGTCCAACGGATTGATATCCGAAGATTTTGGTGGCCATTGTGAGCTGGAAATGAAGCGAGGAACCTAGTTTTGTAACCATTCTTGGGTGGCGCGTGCTGAGTGCGAAGGTGCTGAGTCCTGTTGGAATGTCCAAGGTCTGCGGCCAAAATGTTTGCGTGCCCAAGGCTTTAATACACCATCCAGAATATTTTCGCGATAATATTCGGCATTTATTCTGATGACACGGTTGATTAATATGACAGAGACCATCGGTTGTTTTGGCGGCCCACACCATCACCATGGTCGGTGCTTGAGTTCTGGTGGCCAACCGAAGGTGCACATTTTCAGCTAACCTCGTTGGCAAGTAAACACGATCATTTTGTTTGTTTACAAACTGCTGGACAACTAATGTTTTCTCATCGGAGAAACCCAAATTCGGCAGTTCACCACTTTCGGCCAAGCGAAGCAACTATTTAGCTCTTTTTTCTTTCTGTTGCGGTGTAAGTTCTTGAAGTTTTTGGCATTTCAATGGCTTTACCCCGAGCTCATTTTTCAATATTTTGCGAATGAAATATTGCGGTATGTTCAGCTCACGAGCCATTTTTCGGCAACTGCGACGCGGGTTTCGATAAAGTCGCTTCTTTACTTTTCGAACCATTTCTGGTGATGTTGCTGTTCACTTCCTTGATATCGGGCTATGCTACCAGTATCAGGATAATGAGCGATGGTGCGAGACACAAAAGATTTATTCACATTTAAATGCTGCAGTGCTCTAACGTCTAACCACTTGTGGGTTTCCAGCCAAATATAAAGAAATTACGGTATCACACTTGAATTCCATCACGAATAACTTTTTTTCTAGAAAAATCTCACTAAAACGCTTTTGTACGCTTGTAAACAATATAATGAGCTGTCGATGGATTAATTTTAACAGCTGCCGGACGAGTGGGTTGATGACAGCAGTCTGAAGTTGGTTATATATATTTTCCAGTCGATTTAGCATTAATTTGGTTTTTTAGGGTGTAATATTTCGCAGTTAATGTCAATGTATGCCATTTTTTGGAGTATAAGGACACATATAGAAAGCTTCAGATTTTATTAATTTCGAGGGTTAATAGAAGAAAATATGGGAAATTTCCAATCGATTCCATATTCCCTAGTTTCCATAAAAATTTTGTATCTTTTTTATACCCTACACCTCATAGTGGTAAGGGTATTATGTCTTTGTGCATTTGTTTGTAACATGGAGAAGGAAACTAGATAGACCCATAGTTACTTTTGAGAACCTTCATAGAATCACTTTCTGAGTCGATTTATGCATGTCAGTCCGTCTGTCCGTCCGTCCGTCTGTCCATGTATTCTTGTGAACAAAATGCAGGTCGCATTTATTATCCGATTGAGATGAAATTTTCCAAACAATATTTTTTTGGCCCAAGGACGAACCCTATTGAAATTTGTGAGAATCGGATCAAATTTAGATGTAGCTCCCATATATATCTTCATCCGATTTCGGGTTAAATGTGCACCAAATATCCACTATCAGTCCAAATTACCTGAATTTTGGCACACCCAACCGAGTTCGGCCTAGAAGCAAGTATATCAAATTTGGAGAAAATCGGTTCAGATATAGCTATAGCTCCCATATATATCTTTCATCCGATTTGGTGTTTAAGCCTCTCACATTCGTAATATGCACTCCACAAGAATGATATTTGGTACCAGATATAAGATACAGCCCAGAAATAGCTGTTTGTAATTTTATCGAAATCGGTTCAGATTTGGATATAGCTCCCATATATATCTTCATCCGATTCCGGGTTAATTGTGCACCAAATGGCCGATATAAGTCCAAATGGACTGAATTTTAGTACATCGGACCAAATTCAGCCTGGAAGCAAGTATATCAAATTTAGTGAAAATCGGTTGAGATATAGATATAGCAACCATATATATGTTTCATCCGATTTAGAGTTTTAGTCCCATACATTCGTATTATTCACTCCACAACCGTGATAATTGGTACCAGGTATTAGATGGAGCACAGGAATAGCTGTTTTAAATTTTATCGAAATCGGTTCAGATTTGGATATAGCTCTCATATATATCTTCATCCGATTTCGGGTTAAATGTGCACTAAATGGTCAATTTCAGCCCAAATCACCAGTCTAAAAGCTAATAAGTAAAATTTGGAGAAACCCGGTTCAGAGACAGCTATAGTTCGTAAAATGCACGATAGAATTAGATAGATTTTGATTTTGTACCAAATATCTCATAGAGCTCTGAAATGCCCTGTATAAACCTTTTTACGAGAGCTCTACTAAATATGCATAGTGGTGTAGGGTATCATATAGTCGGCCCCGCCCGACTTTTGGGCTTTCCTTACTGGTTTTTTTTTTGTTTGTGGATTGAAAACCTTATAGATTAGAAGATATAGATTCAATAGATTAGAAGATATAGATTCATTGGTTTTTTGGATTAAATTAAATATTTTGAACAAGATCTTTACTCAAATGTCATTGCCTTAAATGTCAATTCATCGTATTCAATTCAATCTATTCAATTGAAAATCTATTTCCACTTCTGTATTCTTTCAATATTCTCTATATATTTCATGATTTAAACTCAAGTAACTAAAAGCAACTGACAGATGATTCAGAATACTGCTATTTATGAAGATATGCACATTCATATCACATTACTGTCACAATGTTCGCAACGTTGAAGTTGAAGTGGGCTGGCTAACCAGACAGGTTGAAAGTCCTTTAGGTTAA